CAAGAATGACAATGATGCAGGATGTGATACTAAGTGTAGCTGGTAGATATTCAGACCTGGAGGCAGGCAGTGTTCCTGAAGGTATCAGAGCTTTGCAGGCACTAACTTGCCTGATTAGGAGGCAGCCCTAACAATACACTGACTGGTGATGCTGGATTCCAGTCTTCCTGATTTAAATATTTCAAGTGAATTGCACAAAAAGACTAGCAGACAGACCAGAGCTTTTCAGTAGTTGGCTCACTTGTTTATTCCACGCAACACTCCTCTCACACGAGACGGAGTGAGTTACAAGACATTCATGTACTAAGCACGTTGTTCTGCAGCATGTGGCCGTATGTTTTGCACAGAGGAGGGGGTTCTACTTTTCATAAATCTAACACAGAAACTATTTCAGGGGGGTTGCCCATGGTTTCTTTTTCAGATATACACATGGAAATCTAAAATATAAGCACAGCTAGATACGAACATTATGATATGACAATATAAATGCTGTTGGACTGTGGCAGAAGTGAGACAAAAATCAATCCCAAAAGCACTTAGCCTTGTTTGCTCAGCAGTACTTATTGACAGCTGAGAGAATAGAATGAGTGGAAATGAAATTTTCAGAGCTCTGTACACAGTGATGAGATTAAAGTCAGGAGACCTAGAGAGGGACCATCGGCATAAAAATGCCTTAATAATGTGGAATCCGATGTTTACAGCATCCTCTTTCCTATAATAGCTCTGCTGGTGACTAAGCCTTGCCTGGTGCATTGACCTTGGCTGGCTGCCACCTGACAGTGCCCAGACAGACACTCTCTCACTCCCCATCCTCAGCACAACACGGGGAGAAAATACGATGGAAAAGTTCATGGGTCAAGATAAGAACAGGGAGATCACTGGCTAGGGTCATGGGCAAAGCAGACTTGACTTGGGGGAGTTAATTTAATTTATTAGCAATTAACAACAGAGTAGGATAATGAGAAATAAAAAACAAAATTGAAACCACCTTTGCTCTCACTCCCTCTTCTTCACAGATTTACATCACATTCCCCAGCCCCAGCAGTGCACTGGGGTGGGGAATGGGGTTGGGGGGGCAGTTCATTCCTCTTCACTTCCACCACTCCTTCTTCACACAGTTCCTCTGTTCCAGCAAGTTCCTTTTCGTGGGATAGAGTCCTTCACAAACTGCTCCACTGCTCCAGCATGGGTCCTTTCCATGGGATGCAGCCCTTCAGGAACAGATTGCTCCAGTGTGGTTTCTGCTAGAAAACCTGCTCCTGCACAAATCCCTCTCCAGGGTCACAGCTCCTGCCAGAACTGTTCTCCAGGCTGGGACCCTCATGAGCTGCAGGTGGAAGTCTGCCCCTCCATGGATTCCCATGGGCTGCAGGGGAACAGCTGCCTCACCATGGTCTCACCATGGGCTGCAGAGGAATCTCAGCTTTGGCACCTGGAGTACCTCCTGCCCTTCTTCTCCGCTGACCTTGGTGTCTCCAGGGCTGTTCCTCTCACATTTTTCTTACTCCTCTTCCTCAAGGGTGCTGCAGAGTGTTTTCAATATCCAGAAAAGTTTCTTCACTGGGAAGCTGGTCAGGTATTGTAAAAGGCTGCCTGTGAAATCACCATCCCTGGATGTGGTCAGAACATGTAAATGTGTCACAGAGGAACACAGTTTAGTTGTGACCACAATGGTTCAGGGTTAATAGTTGAACTCGATGATCTCAGAAGTTATTTCCAACCTTAACAATTCTATGATTCTGTAAGACAGATGTCAGCCAAGAACAAATAAAATGCTGCATATTATGCATTTGGATTTGGTAAGTGAGCTTAGATTCACAGAAGTCTAAGAACAGAAGAGGTTTCTTATCAAGAATGATTAATTTCCTATTATGCATTGGTAGGGGAGGAAAAAAAAGAAGGAGACCTGGAGTAAGTATGTGTCTTTGAAGAAGTTCAGTGAAAAGTGCTAAAAAATTCCAAAATAAGTTACTGTTTGAAACCTCTTGCTACACACATACAAACGGCAACAAAAGAATGAATAATAAAATTGTATTTGATGCCAAAAAGAGAAAGAAATAAAACTAGATAATAAAATGCATAGAGAACATAAAAATAAAAAAAAAAAAACCCTGAGAAAACTAGTGCATAGAAAGACTGGAGAGGAAAAAGAAAAGTGGGTACTTGCATAAAGAAGTACCATTAAGAGCACAAGTACAAACTAAGGCAGGGAAGCAATAGGAAATGTAGAATAATAACCCACTTGGTTAATTCCTGAGTTCCTCACTGCCTCCAGCCCATGACAGATGTACACAGATTGTGGACACAAAATCAAGGAGCTGACAAGTTATCATTAACAGCAAAGACTTCACAAAGTCAGAAAGGCCAGGTCACAAAGTCAGAAAGACCAGGTCACAAAGACAACACAGGTGTTACAGTTACTAGAGGAGAACCAGGAATGCATTTTCTCATCAGAGAAGAAAAGCTGTGACAAATTGATGCCAGGAAGAACAGACAAAACTTATAGCTGCTACTTCAAGTTTAGGAAAACTGAGCTCTTCACTGAACTGGAAAATCCCCTTTGGACATCTGCTCCATTTCCAAAATCTGCAGGAAAATTGTTTACCTTTTTCATTTCAATCTTGGTGTTGTGATTTTAAACAAATATTGCTCATAATGTGAAGTCACATTCCAGTTTATGAGGCTCTAAACATAATGCTTTGTCACCATTTTTTTCCAAATTCAGTGAAGAGAAAGAGGCATCACAACACCTGCTATTTCCAGAAGACAAATTGTTCATAGATTAATCAGAAAGCAGACATCATCATTATCACAAAGAGTGTCCTATGAACAATGTGAGTGAAAATCCACACAATAAACAGGAGCATTTTCATCTATAATCACATCTGGTGCTAAAAAGCTCAAGTGACATTTGGTCAACTGTGCATTTGACTAAATAGTCAATCTGAAACAGCAGTGTCACGCTCCCAGGCTTTTTCTAAAATTTTTTTTCTTGTGACAATGTGCAAATAGTTCACTCCAATTCCCATCACTTTTTAGTAGCTCTTTCACAATGATTAGTCAACAAACAGTCAGCATTTTCCTACACATTTTGGCAGTCTAAAATACCTGCCTTGATTAAACTTTCTTTCAGTGCAAATAAAAAGAGTATAGGGTCACCAAAAGTGTACTTATAATTAAAGGGAGGGTAGGGGAATCATGATAAATATACTCATAAAAACCTTTCAAGTTGCTTATTTTTGAGACCAAACTGTTATAAGACACCAAACACACAATTTGAGTTGTTCTTTGGGTTACACCAAGCTGCCTATCCCATACAAAAGGAGCATGACAGAAAATATTTGAGTGATTTATTTCTCATTATCAAATACTCAACAGATCAGCTCATCAGCCCAAGAAGCAGGGCACACATGGCTCTGGTCATGGCACGCAGAGAGGAAGCCACCAAAGCCAGAAACTCCACATAAGACAAAACTCTTCCCTTCACTAGTCACAGCCAACAGTGAAAGTACCTATATAGAAACTTTATTGTTGTCCCAGCCTTTCTTGCAACCACCCCCATAGCCACACTATTCTCTTTGGCCTGATAACTTTTATTAATCATACACAACAAGTCTAAAAAACATAAGGACCAACTTTATTTCAGGATAGCCCATGTCATTGCCAGAGCACTTAGTTTCAGCACTAAGGCTGCTCAGAATTTCTACATTAATGGAAGTGTTGAGACATTGCAGGTGACTGGACCAATTCCACCAAATACAAATTAAAGGTGAAAATGAAGTTATGAGCGTGAAAACTAGAGTTTTCAGCCAGGACAAATTATCACAGATAGCTTCAGAGAGCTTTCCCCCCAACACATCATCATCTCCCTGTCAAGGTTCTATCTTTTCTGTCTCCATTAGATCTCACCCTTCAACATTTCACTTGGTGCAAAGGAATTAAGAAAAGGTCTTACATAACACCCTAATAATCACAGCACACATGCACTGTGATTCCCAGAAGCAGACTGCTCCACAGCTCTCTTAATTTTAACAGATCCTTCGGTCTGGCTGCAATGTTCCGGCTTCTGAAAAAGGCACAGATTGCTGTAGCTGTCCCTGAAAACAATCCATGCTCACTTACCACACTGACAAACACCAGCCCAGGACCCAAGGTTTAGACCTGACTGGGCAGTTCCTTAAGCAACAAGAGATCTTCCCCCCTATTTCAGAAGCTTCAAGTCACAAGTGACCCCTCGACAGCACCTTGGACTAAGGCTCTGTTGCGGATTTCACTAGAGCTACAGAACACTTTTCCTATCTAGAATCATTTCAAACCTATTTGCTCTACTACCAAGCTGTCACTTTTTTTCTCCCAGAGGTTTCACATGTGAAAAGTGCTTCTCCCTCCCCACAGAAGACAGGATGATGCTGCATACAGCTCTGAGGGTGACCCATCACTGACATTCAGCACTCCAGGAAAGGCTTTGCTTGTCCACCAAGCCTGGAAACCAACCTGGCTTCTGTAGGCCCTTTTTCTTCAGGCAGAGAGTCATTCTTCATGACTTTCTGACTAAAAATGAAAGGTTGGATGTCAGCAGACATCCATGTCTATTTAGGAGTGATAAAGTGCAATTAAAAGGCATTGGGAGATGCTCATGCCTAACACTTAGGGAGCAGAGATGACCCTGCAGAAACAAGCAGGAAAAGGCCCTTCAAAACACACATTTCAGTGTGGTTACTGCTGCATTAGTGTTTGGAAGGGCTGACACACCTGACCAATGAAAACTGAAATTAACAACCAGTCTGTGGAGGTATTTTTAGCTTGGGGACATAAAGATGAGAAGAAATATATGGTGTGGTTAGGGTTGTCTTTTTTTTTTTCCTTTGTTTTAAATAAGCACACCACCTGCCTTTTGTACTACTTAACACTTCTGTTCTCAGGAAAACCATGCTGTGATCTCAGCTTCTCAGAAACTGGTCAACATTTACCCAAATAACCACAGAAATACTTGAGGTAAATATTTGCATTTTTGTGCATTTACTTTAAAGAGTGTCCAAATATTATCCATTGCTGTTTCTCATTTCCATATCCAGTATGATAGCAAATTGGTTTTATTTTCCATCAATTATCAATGCAAACAGAAAAATTAATTGCAAAAGAGATACATTAAAAATTCAAAAATAGACAAAGATGTCAAATACTAGCTCATCATGTGTCAGGTACAACCATCTACTCAGAAAACAAAACAACCAAAAAAGAACCCTAAAAATCTCTTATTTCTGCATTTCTGTTAGATGTATTGCTTTGACCTTCTATGTTTTGAGGTGCCCCATGTCACACAGAACTTTAAAGAGAATCCAGTTGCCAAAATGGACAGAAAAGTGCTGTATTTTCACCAGCAGTCTTTTACTCTGGCACAGAAATATGTCCATTATAGTTTTGAGGAAAGGCAGCACATACATCAGAGTCCACTTTCAAAGAAAATTAAGGTATTTCCCTAATTCAATCTTTAAAAGTTCCAACTTTTTCTAGAGCTGTACTGATATTTAGAGAACGAGAAAAAAACTTACTAAAATGGGTCTTTCTGCCCCACCATCGTCAGGTCAGGAAAGACAAAGGCTTTTGTGGGTAAGGTCAGAGGCTCAAGAGTTGAAGTACAAGTTCGAGTAGCTGAGTATCATTAGCAGCTGAGCTGGCTACTTGTGCCTACACTGTTATAAGCATACATAAACAGATCTTGGGCTGTAGTTCTGATAGATTCTCTCTGAAAAGTCAGGAGGCTTGGCTGCTTCTCTTCTTGCACGTGAAGGTGGGAAGTTGCAGGTTTTAGTCTGCAAAAGGAAGAAAAAGATGTACCATTGTATTACATTGTAGAATTTTGTGGGACCGTCAGTCCTATAGATCCCAAACAAAAAGCAGAAGAAACCTGGTAGATAACATTACTGTTGCAAAAGAAATGTGAAGTGATTTCTCTGAGCTCTCTGAGCAAGAGGGCAGAGCACAGAGGGTGAAACATAAACTGGCAGACAGATGCAAGAGCAGCCTTCACAAAGCCTCAACAGGACAGCCTTGGAAATTTTTTTTCTTAATATAATCGAAAACAAAATTTGAAATGTTGGCATCTACAGCAAAATAAATGACAATGAACAATGCTAGCTTCTCTGAAAGCGAAACACCAAAACAAAAACAAAACAGACAGACCACAAACAATCCAATTTAGGCACCTAAAATCATTGGAAACCTTTGATCTCTGCAACTCCCCCTCTCATCAATGAAATTGTCCTGAATGCCACACAAGAGCATGTCAGGAAATGAATCATTCTAACTTCAGAGCACTCTGACTTGTTTGCAACAAACAAGGCACACGACCATTAATTAAATCATGAGCAGAAAACAAAATAGGAAATAATTGGTCTCTCCATGTGCATTAAGTGAGGCAGAAGCCCTGAGGAAAAGCAGCACTTTTTCACTTTGTTAAATATATATCACAACACACTGGATTTAGAGACTAAAAGTTGTGGTGGCAGATTTATCACTGCTATTTTCCTGGCTTCCAAGTATATGAACTGCCATGTAAAAAATAAAAGTTTCATAGCTGTGTTTGTCTCCACTACAGCAAAACAAAGTGGACCTTTTTCCTCCATTGTAAAAGGCATGTCTGGTTCCATCCAACCTATAATCAAGCAGGCTTCTGCTATTAAGAATACACATTCTTAAATAAAACATCTGAGTAAAGACTACCCTGTGAAGCAGAAATATGAATATATTGAGTTTTGGGAGAGTTAAAATTCAGCATTGTAAATAGACAGGAAACGCACTACACCACTCTCTATCCAGGGCTTAAATGACTGCTCAAATACTCTGATTATACATAAAGATAGAGCCATCCAAACAACAGACATTGTCACAGATGATGTGTTCCTCATTCCCCACTGCAAGTGCTCACAGAGGTAAATGGGAGATTTGTCAGAGCAGACACATTGCCAAGAAATTACAAGTTTTAGTGAAGAATACACCAAAACCTGCAAAGCACACACAAGCACGAAGCCCACTTACTGTAGAGTGTTCTGCTGGGCCAGGTGCCTGTTTACGTAACCAGCAAGCTGAAAGTAGGATGTCAGGAAGTTAGGATGGTTTGATGGTGCAGGGTACACAGCTGTTATAGCTGGGGCTCTCCTCTAGCTGCCCCCAGCTCTTGAAAGACTTTCTCCAAAATATGGTTACCCTCATATGTTAAATTCTTATGTTTGTTTGTTTTTAAAACTTATCACTGCTCATGGGAACAGAGTTTGTGTTTAGTCATTAGTTTATGAACTGTCATTCTTAAGAATAGAATTTTGGGCCAGTAAATGCAGAACAAACAAAAATTTCTAAAAACTCAAAGCCTGCCCTATTCTCAGAAAGAACCCCTTTCATCCTGAATGAATCTCTGACATGTCTGTAATGCATTAATACCACAGTACCTATAGCTCTTTCAAAAATCCAGACTTATTTTTAATTGCCACCCCTTATTTTATTACAACTTCTCCAAAAGGACAGTACATAAATGAACATTTTCCTCGCTTGCCTCCCACCTCAGTCTCAGCAGTAAAGTGCTGAGTGTACCTTGTACCTGCACATAATCAGCAATGGGATTGTAATATATTTCAGGTTCATCAAAGGACTCACCTCTGCACCTGAAAATCAAGCATAAAGCCACACCAGTGACAGCACTGACACCTGTAGCTGCTCCAACCAGGATGTAGAGAAGCCTATGGTACGTGTCTGAGCAAAGAGAAGAGAGCAAGTTACAGAGCTAGATGTCAGTATCCATAAATTTGTGACTGTTAACTGCCTACCTTAACTGGAGGAAAAAGCTAATCCTCTGCTTCCAAACAAAGCAGAGAGAAACAGATGAGATGCCTGGGTGCAGCAATAACCCCTCACACCCCCAGTCATTTGTGTGCACAAACACATTTTCATTTTCAACTTGTCTGCCTTTACATTCTCATTTTCTTTAAGTACTACTAGCCCTGAACAACTGAGCAGCCAACCCTGCAAAATGCTGTTATTAATGACCAGTCTATGCTGATTTCTGTTCTTCATGCCTCTACTAGTAGAGATACTTTGGTGATACGAGCACTTATTTAGCTGTTCTTACAAATCCTACTGCAATAGACTTCCAACAGGTCCAGCACAGCCAGAGGAGAAGCTGAATTTTACCCTTTACTACCTTTGGAACACTTGCAAGTCACAGACAGATAGTGCCCAAGGAAAATCTCTCCAGACCATCACTACTGTGGAAAAGCTGGACAAAATGTTGTGGGGAAGGTGCTTTTTGATTATTTTTCGTTCTTGTTTCTTGCTATCCTATTCTGATTCGAGTGGCAAGAAATTACTTTCTCTCAAGTCTCTTTTGCCTGTTACAGAAATTGGTGAATGATCTTTCCCTGTCTTCACCTTGACCCACAAGCTGTCCATTGTATTTTTCTCCATGTCTTGTTGAAGAGAGGGGGGAAACAACAGAGCAGCTTGGAGGGCACCTGGCAGCCAGCCAAGGTGAACCTACTAAAAGAAGAGTAAGGACTTCTTGTAAAACAGAGCAGGAATTGAAAGAAAAACACCCTGAAAGCTTCTCCATACAGTGCCACAAAGCATTTGGTTTCAAAATTATTAATTTATCTCTCAACATGCCCTAGGACTTCACCTTAGAACCACACTAACCTATTTCCAGGGCCCTGGCATTTATTTGGAGCAGCTGCACAGAGCAGCAGAGAGGAGCCCAAAGCATGGTGAAAAGCAAAATAACATCAAAAAATAACATTTACATCTCAGGTCCATGACCAGAGTCTGGTTCTTGTTTGGGTAGGTGACCAGGCAGGTGACAGAGGGAAATGAGCTGTGGGCCCAGCCAAAGTAGCTCACTCTGGTCACTGTTCCATTGGGGTGGTGGAATTCTTCCTCAGAGCTGTGATTGCTTGCAGGGATCCAGGAGATGTCAGCAGGTGGCTTTCCTGCAGATGCCTGACAAACAGCCACCCTGCTCTTGTCATGGGTCAGAGTCACCATAGGAGGGACTGCAGAAGAAATTTTGAAAAGCCACAACCATTATTTCTATCAATATTTTATATTTTTATTTCATTTTTAGTATTTCACTTATTTCAGTATAAAATCACCAACTGAGAAGCTGGCCAACAGGTGGTATTTTTCAGATTGTATGACCAATTTGTGAGATTTTAAATTAATATGAAATATTAGCACATCTTTAAGGAAGAACAATGCATCAAAAAGTCCAAGGTGAACATCTCAAAAACTATCTGGCTGCATCTAAAGTACTGCTTCCTCCTGTTTCCCAAAAGGTAATGACAGATTAGCAGGATATGGGGTGACAGAGAGGGGTGGATTAAATAAAGATTTACAACATGACTGAAGAAAAGGCAGATTGTTGAAGCTTCAGGTACATTATTTAGGAGTTTGAATATGTAGAATCAAAAATCTGATAGCAAGGAAATAAAAGAGGAATTGGGCAAAACTCTTCTGCTTGAAGTCCAACAACTCATATTCTGCATTTGGCAAAACAACACCTACATTTTCATCAGAAAGGCAAGATTCTGCAGGGAACAACCAAAAAAATACCAAAATCCAAAACCAAAACAAACTAATGAAATAATCCAACTAAAAAAAACCAAAAACAAGTGACTAAAATTAGTAATAGCAATCATAGAGTTGAAAATTAATTTCTTATAATTTTTAGTTATATAGAGACGATTTAACTAATATAGCCAAAACACAAAGTCTTCCTGTGGCTTGGTTTTTCTTTAATTTATGGAAACCTAGATATAGTTTACCTGACAATATAAAAAGGGTAACTTGATGTATTCATTATGCTTCCTAATATTCTTAAATTCCTGCCTATGTTGCAAATAGACTAATTAAATTTTTTATTTTAGTGATGCAATCCTACCTGTCACAGTCAGAGAAAAGAAAAAATGAAAATTCCCTTCACTGCTGGCAATTTCACAGGTGTAATTTCCCTCATCCCCGAGGTTCACGGGGTAAATACGAAGCTCAAGGTCACTGGCAGGTGAATATTTCCATGTGATCCTCTCACTGCAGTTCAGCCTGCTTGTCTTATTGAGATCCCTTCTATAAGACAGCAGGCAGCAACTGCTGCAATTCCTCTTCCATATCACCATCAGCAAAGATGCACTGTAGATGTTGGGGCAACTCAGCACAGCTTCATGGCCAGCCTCTACACTCACCCTGTTGTAAGTTGCATACACTGAAAAAAAAGATGTTAAAAAGATGTTACAGAGACATTGTAAAAGCCCAGGAAACCCTTGGCTTCAAAAATATACTTCCTGATTGCACTGGCAGCCTTGGGGCACATACTAGTGTTCAACTTCCAGATTCACCTTCCTGAAGTTTGGAAGTGCAGTGGAGATGGTGCCTTTTTGCTGTAGACAGTGATGAGCTGCAAGTCCTCCAACTTTATTTTAGGCAACAAGTTTCTATCACTTTAATACAGGCTTTGAAAAATTGATGGGGCAGGCAAAATTCATTCTTTAGGGAAAGGAAACTACTTTCAAAAAATTTACTGTGTTCCTGAATTAGATGCCTTGCTTCAAGTCCAGTAAAACCTGGGATAGCGATGGAATACACACCCGTGGCACGGTTAAAACCAGCACCATTCGGAGCAGTAGCTCAGTAAGAGATGCATGTGGATCCCTTTTATTCCAGAAATCATAGCTCTCCTGCCATTGTCCCAGCTAAACAGATGTGTCTTTAGATGACCAGTTTTGGATTCCTATCAGATTTATCATTCTTTGCCACTCTGCAAGGCACTCAATTACTTTTGCCAGCTGAGGTGGCATTACTCTTTCCATTCCCACTAAACAATAGGCAAAATTTGCTCTGGTGTACTATGAAGCTTCAGTGTCCTGGAAAGTTGGAAATGCAGAGTACCAAACAGTGCTACATGCAGGTTTGGATCTTTCTTACTTACCTTCAACCAGACTGATTGGCAAGAAAAGGATCACAGCCAGAACTGACCAGTTCAGAGCCATCTTCAGCAGAAGGAATCAGCGCTACAGAAAATGAAGGCAAAGAAAATGACATGTAGTCACAAATTTTTGTGCTCATCCCTTCAAAGAGAAGATGTAGTAAAACCCCTGTTTCCTTTGAAAGCAGTTCTAAATAAGACCCCATGTCAAGTCAGTCTTATACTGAAGAAAGTAAGGCAAAAACACAGTTGAATTTTTTTTTTAAAAATTTAAAAAAAGAAAATAGACAAAATAAAAGAAAAACAGCCCCAAAAACCCACCAAAAAAAAACCCTACAAAAACAAACAAACAAAAGCTACTGTTTACACAGAGTTTTTTTAAAATCCTGGATCTCTGGTTCCTCTCAGGATTTAGACTTCATCAACTACTCAGCAAAGAAATTATTCCTAACCTTTGCATGCAGATTTTAATTTCTTGAAGAGTAGCTCACTTTTTGGAGCAGAACAAAAAGAACAACCCTCCTACTGCAAGAGATCAAAACCATATGAGTTTGTTTCTTGCTTGCATAGGCAGGGTGGACTAAAAGAGGCATCTAGTAACCCCTGCTATTCTACAACTACATAAACCTTTTAACAAACCATGTCTTATAAATGCTGCCATTTCTGTATCTTTAATAATTTACTTTCTGAATCAGGCACCCACAGCTAGAGATGATTGGAAAATTGTGCTCCTATCCCATGGGAAATACTGACACGATGTTTTCATTCCCAAGTCAAAACCCAAGATGCAGCAGACAAGCAAACATCTCTGTGCAATGGCTGATTCAGAAATGTCATATTTATAGTAACAGGACTTTCCTTGTGGGTTGTTTGCATCATGCACTGTTCTCACCCTTATTCAAACACAACAAGCAAGTGCTGGAGGAAGGAAAGGCAGTCAGGGCTCACTCTGCACCCAGAGACCCTAATCTTCATCTGGTACAAACTGCCATGACAGTAACAAGCTTTAATTAAACAGCATTACAGATTTCATTTCAAATGTGAAACAAAGCATGTGAGGATGCCTGGTGTACAGGAGAGAAGCCACAACACTGCCACACGTGTGGCACAGGAAGAGCAAACGCTGCCACAGTCACGAGCCAAATGCAACAGATGGTGTTTTCCTTAATACAGCGTGATAAAAGTGCATATTCAAGTCACTGAATCACAGAATGGTTTGGGTTAGAAGGGACCTCAAAGATCTTCCAGTTCCAGCCCCCTGCCATGGACACTTCCACCGGACCAGGATGCTCAGAGCTCCATCCAACCTGACCCTGAACACTTCCAGGGATGGGGCATTCACAACTTGTGGATTGATTTGTGACTTGAATTGTGATGCATCTGGATGAAAAGCTTTCATTATCACCTGGTAAAAATGTCAGTACAAGCACATTGATCTATGTTCTGCTACTAATGTGCAATAAGGAATGTAACTATTACTTTAAAAACATCTCAGGTTTCATTTTCATTCACATAAAATCTTTGCCATAAAGGAAGCATATTGTTTAGTTTCATTTTAGTCAGTGCTGTCAAAAGTTTTGGGATTTTTTTTTTTTTTTTTTTTACTTTGCAATTTGGATACATTATGCATGCAAAAGTTGCTTTCAATCAAAAAGGTTTAAAACTTTAAAAGCTGAATTTTTTTAAAAACAAAAAGGTTAAAAATATACATTTTGACCAGACTTATGTAGTGAACTTGACCCAATTTGCAAAGAATTTCTCAGTCTCTTTCAAAAGGAAAGTAAAAGAAAAAACAATAAATCTTCCATAATTTCTATTAGCAAATTCAGTATTTTCCAGTTTTGATGGGTTCATAAATATTCATAACAGAATATTGTCATATTGGAACTTGTCCCAGAGAAGTGTCTTTTTTTTAAATGCATACAAATCTCATATATGGGGTTTATTTGCTCAGAAGAACAGGCATTAATGATTAAAAATGGGACCTTACAGAAAAAAAGAGAGTATATGACTGTTTAAATATTCATGTGTGAAACGCAGAATTTAATCTGCAATTTTTAAAATTCACAGCCCTTGAACAGTCGTGCCTCTGAGCGAGAAGGAACTCTGAAAATCCAAAAAGGAACAACCAGGCAGAGATGAAGCAAACCCATTTAAAAGTAACAAATGAATACTTGTGGCTCGCCTTGTGTTATTGCCTTTGATGGAATTAAAACCCTTCAATAGCTGCATTAAAATAAATTAAAATTTTTTACCCAGCCTCAGTGGCGGTGGCTGGCAAGATGTGCGTGTCACTCTTCCAGCCGGGGAATGGCACCACTCCCACTCGGATTCATCCCAAGGAGTGCTGAGGCTGGGGAAGATTCACTCAGTTACCAGGCTCAAGAAGAGGAGCCTTCCTCACCCCAGGAGCTTGGGAGAGGAGCAGCAGCAGCTCCAGCGTGCCCTGGTCTTCAATTCTCCTTCTGGGGTGAGCAGCCGCTCCCGTGGGGATCCCAGTCCTGATGGCTGATCCCGAGGCAGCTCCTGCACACCAGGGAACTGCAGGGATGTCCCTGGAGCTCCCCTTCCTCTCTGTCCCCACGAAGGGCCCAGATGTAACTGCAAAGTGGGAATTATCTCAATTTAGGAGACTCCATCCCATGCAGTCCCCGAGTTCAGCTGTGTGGTCCATTAGTTTCTTCTCATTGTTGCTTCTGAGACCTTAACATGCAGCTGATTTTTCTCACCGACAGAGAAAGCCTCCACACCACCCCCCCGGAAAGAGGTGAGTAAAAAAAACCCTCTGGTGGTACACTGCCATGCAGAGGCTGTGGCAGAGCTAAACTGAGAGAAGCAAAGTGCTTTGTGACATGATGAACAAGTTGCAACCTTAGCTGTCTGCTACACGTCACACACCAGCCACAAGCCTTGAGCACCAACTTAAAATCAAGCAAATAAATGCAAAGTCCTACATGACTCAAATATTTGCTAACACAGCCTGAAAGAGAAAAAAGGTCTGGTATCCACCAGTACATCAACTGTCACCACAACTTCTTTAAGGATAACCAGTATGTCACAGAGCCGTTCCTGTGTTTAATTCAGCAAAACATGGTTCAGTTTTGAAGTGAAAGCACATTTTAAAAGGTACAAAAGACCCTACCTTAGAAGTCTGTTCTCTGTAAGACATCTGTCTTTAGGCAAGGAAGGGCTGGAAGGGGTGGCAAGAAGAGGAAGCAGCAACACACATGTATATCAACCCTCTTGCTTCCTCTTATAGGGATAAGGTAACTGCTCTGCAAATCAAGGCTACGTTATTTAAAATCCAAACCCACACTTTTGGCAGCCAGAGCAGCAGCAGCATCTTCTATGCAGTATTTGATGTTTCTGCCTCATCACCGAGACCACACAGCACCCAACTCAAAAGCCTGCAACTTTTCTGAAGTGAGAGATGTTATGCTGTATTTTCAACATCCCCAGGTCAGCCTCTTCTGCTCCTGTTTCTCCCTAGCAATGGTCCTCTGCTGGGAATTCCTCAAGTCCCTGCACTGAAAATGAAGCAACAAAAATATAGCAAGACTCTGAATGCCCTGGGTGCAATACAAAACATATCAAAAAGGGCAGCAGGTAGATATTCCCAAAGCTGAAACTGAAAAGCTCTGTGGGGAGAGGAGAGGCTGTGTTCTTTCTCTGTTCTTAGCCATCTTCCTTAGCCATCTGTGGCTGGCCCCTGACAATGCTGCTGAGTAATGGACCTTTGCTTTGACTTTAGAGCCTCCTGGTATTTTTTTTTTCTCCAGGAAAGATATCCTGGCCCTGAAAACTGATCCCTGAATTCCTGTACTAGCACAGCAGAAGACTGTTAGTGCTGTCAGGGACTGATGGATCAGAACCTCCATAGTGCCTTTTCTTCTCAAACTCCCTGTTTGTCCCACAGTTGCTGGCATCAGTTGAAGCCAGAATTTGGAATTTAGTCCATCCAGTTTGTGAGCTACTTTAATTCAGCTCCAAACTACAAAGCTTTCTCTGCAAAATGGGAAATAGAGGGTGGATGACTTTCTGAAAGAGAGCATTACCCTAATAAAACAAGCTCTCAAAACAATCACAAGCAGGTTATACAAAACAACTGCAAAATTACAGTGTTTAGGTAAATATACCTAAAGGTAAATAGGTTTGAAATTTCCTCCACAGCAAGGCAGAGATTTGTGCTGTCTATTGAATTCATCAGGAGACCAATATTTAGAATACCAACATTAAAAAGTGTGGATTTTCCTCCAGGGGGAAAAAAATTTGTCATACATAGTAGCTGTAATTCCAGAAAGCAGTTGGACATCTCCCCTCTTCTCTGCTATATTTACCTTTTTATCACTATCTCATCTGGAAAATAACTTAGTCCCACAAAGCTGGTGCACAAGCCAAGGCATATTCTTCACATCTGTAGCTGCCTTGCAGCCAGTCCCCTCAGAGAGAAATCCAGTGTTGGGAAGGGACAGTAGGAGCATAAGATGAATGAGAGCACCACCACCCCTGGTAGCTCATTCTTTTCCTTTCAGAAAGAGAGAATTTGCTTTACATTTTCCATTTTATAGGGAGAAAAACCTCAGTTCTTGTACCTAACACCTTGACTTTCCCAGGTATAAACCATCTGTGGCTCTCACCAATGTCAGCAAACAGATGAGGGAAAACCCTGCTGATAATGAAGCCTGTAAAACCTGACACTTCCATGTTAAAATATCCAGAGGCAATTATATCACAATTTGCAGAGATCACGAAAATGTATTTCTTTTTTAACTGTAGCTAATTGCACTGGGCCAGCTGGGCCATGCTCAGCAACTTCTACTCCTGGCCCTAAAGAATCCCCTTATCACTTGTAGGTCATTAACCACAGCAGCTTTTCTCTTGACCCCAATACTGCAGCAGACAAATCTATCTACACATATGTTCATGATCTTTACTGCTTTAACTCCTGCCCCTTGTGGGCCTACTTCTTTTCGCTGCTGATTTCCCAGGAAAAAAAAACTAGGAATTAGCAACACACAAGTGCAGTTATTGCTTTCAGGGCTGTGGATAACCAGAGAAAAAGTCTTCCATACAAGTATTCAAAGATGAACAGAGAGGAAATGGTTTATAGCTTGTTGTTTAACTCCTAAAATACTCTGGTAAGAATCTCAGGCTCCCCAGATGAAAGCTTCCTCTCCATCTTTCAGTCAGAGGGACTGGCCTCCCACTCCACAGCCAAACATGATGGAATTGCACCACACATCCCAAACTGCACATAAAGAAGCTACAAACCTCAAGTAGTTCCTGCTTTAAAATGAACATAAATAGCAGAAGCCCTGGTGTATAGCAGAAATAAAACCCCAGGTAGTCCTTCCTCACTTATCAGTCAGTTTTACCTGTAGCATCACTAACCATGGTTTAGGAAGTGCTAAGCAGGGGTAGAGACAGCACTTGCCCGACCTCTCTCCTTCAGCTCTTCACTTCTCCTTCACACGTCAGGGAACACAATTTTCTCTGAAACCTACAGCTTCCCCATTCCATAGACAGCTGTGAAGATCTTGCAAGAAGCCCCAGGAGCCCCCATCAGCTGGGAGACAGCTTCTCCAGCCTCAAGGAGCTACATTCTCCATGGTCATTGGAGTCAACACATAGAAGAAATGTATTTTACTTATTTATATATTTAAGGAAGGGGAAAAATTGTCCCCTGTGTTTATAGAGCAGCTAGATCTATGCTTACAAATATGAAATAGATACTGCTATTGTATGGCAAAAAAGGAATAGTTTTCTTTCATTTCCCTTTCTGTGTTTTTTTTAAAAAGTGGAATAAATTTGTTGTATAACGAAACATACCTAAAATAGAAACCCACATCTATATTGGAAAAAACTACACATCCCACCTCTCAAATGCCAACTAAAGTCATGACACCAGGGTCAGGTTGCCATTTATCACTGCCTACACTCTTTTGGTGGGATGTAATACACCAAAGGGGATGCCTGTCCTTTTTCCTTCCTCACCATATGGGTTTCCTTGCTGTCATAGTCTCCCTTTCTCATGAGCCACTTAGCACCTATAGATCTGTGTCAGTGGTCTAGAACAATTCTCCCTGGTGGCTTCCAGTAAAACTTCTCACCTCATTTCTCTTCTGCTTACAGGCACTTCTGGCAGATTTTAAGCTCCATTTGAGGCAGGATGATGCAGGAGAGTGGAGTTGCTGGGAGGAGTCTTTATTCCGGTTTCTGCTAAACAAACTCCCCCCCCCCATTTTGTAGACCAGTGGTCTGCAGGTGAAAAGCACAGTATAAATTCAGGTCATCGCTCACAAATAATGTCATGGGACTGTGGGCATTGCTGATAAAAGATCTTAATTTTCTCATCTTCCCAGAGTGGCTTAAAGTACAGCCCAGAGGGGAAGCTCCTGAGGATGGGGTGGCAGAGCTTCTCCAGGGTGGGAGAACATATCATTGTCTTCTGATTCAATGTCCAGAGGCACTGTGTGAAAAGCTGAGGCGCAGCACTACAACAAAAATGAAAGAATGAGAAGATTAAAAAAAAAAAAAAAGTCAGCTAGCACACAGAATGCAGAAATGTCAGACAGAGACTCAGGAAGCTTCTAGCTCCTCACCACAAGGACTTTGCTGAATGCATTCATGCCACACACCACAGGCTTTTTGTCATCCCTGCCCTCAGGCCTTTATAGGCTATGTACATACATAGGCTACAGGCATATGGCTGTGTTTGTGCACAGCTAGGGCTCACTTAAAATACATGAAAAAACATGTCTTAATTTGCTAAAAGTGTCTGTGCTGTGGCCATGTCTATGTGTATTGCTACATACATGAATATTTTTTTAAATCATTATATAGAGGTATAACTTTGCACACACTTGGAGCTGCTGCACTCACAGCCCTCTGACACAGGAAGAAATGCTGACTGGCTTGTTTGCAAAGTTTCCATCATTAGAAATCCGAGTTCTGCACATTGCTTCCACGGGGTTGTCAGAGCTAGTTTATGGCTTTTGTAATGGTAGAGTCTCTGGGAAAATGATTTTCAAAGTGCATCCAAAGGGATAAACTAGAGGCAACATTGAACCATACAGGCTTCCTACAAACCTCTCGTTGAAGAGGATGATCTTTCCCAAATAAGGCAATTCCTCACATAAAAGAAGATGACCTGTGGACCACTGATGGAATTTTACATGGGGGGTACCTGCAACTGAACAATGAAGGAAACAATCTCACTCAAAGTCCAGAGTCCAGCACCTCTACTCCATTAGAGTTATGTACATGTGCTGCAAAACTTCTCCAAAGTAGTAACAAGGCCATAAGGAACATATGGGGTGAGGGATCCTGGCTGAATGCATACCTGGACAGTTAGATTGAAAATCCATTTTCACTGAAAACAACATTTTGATCTGGAAGCTTTGGACTAACAGTCTATATTTCTCTATAGGTTCTAGAAACATGTATTGCACAATTTACTCAAAGTTGTCTTTTGCGTGTTTACACAGGGCAGTTCTGACATGGATAAAGAACTTCCATTCTCCCTGTGAAACAGAGAGATGGCATTGCCCTGGCATGGGACAAGAAACAGGCACTATAGATTTCTGAGCAGGTCCTGAAAGAAAACCCAGCTCTGGCCCTACCGTTGTCAAGGACAAGGAGAGGACATACTGACTTGTGCAAGAGATTTTTACTGGGGAAAATCACTGTTTTCTTACTAGTGAAGGGCACCCACAGAACTCCTCGGGCTGCAGTATGATTTAAAAATGCTCATTAGGCCTTGGCCTTGATGAGCTGCATCTGGGCTGAGCTTATCAGAAACACTGTCTGCTCCCAGGAACTGGTGCTGTCTATAACAAGGTTTTGGTTTTTAATAAGAAGCTTTGGAAACTTATTTTCCTTGCCCAAATAACAGCCAGAGTTTAGGCCCAAGCCATTGGCCTAGTCTGGGCCTAAGTCTGGCAAAGCAGACCTCTTTAAACATTGGGAGGGCCTTCCTTATTCCTTTTTATCCTTATCTTTTCCCACCCTTTACCCTTTTTTCCTTCCCCAGCCTCAGTGTTGATAATTTGTGGTTGATTTTAGTTTTAGATTGATTGATTTTACATTTTAGAATTATTTTTTCTGTACTTTAACCATCTAAGTAAGCAGTAGAGTGAGCCTTGCCAATGCATTTTGTCACGCTTTCACTTTAATATTAAACCTGCTTTTTGCCAATTCCTTTGATTCTTTGGGCCACCTAAAACACTCATTTCTGACAAAAAATTAGCATTTTCTTGTTACTCAAGGCTACTCACATCACAGAATTCATTGTCTTGACTATGTGTCTTCCATAACAGCATGTGCCTCTGTAACAACTGTTGTTCCTAATAGACAGAATGCACAGGTATTTGGAGCTGGAATTTCACTAGGTGTGTTTGTGTCTCCAGTTACCATGGATATACACTGATGCTCCTTCCCTCGATGTAAAATGTCTGTCTGGTGTCTCATTACTCACAGACCTGCTGCAAGCACCTTGTTTTTATGACCCTTCAGCTCAAGGACTCATATTCACAGTTGTTGCAGAGCAGGATATTTGGGAGCAGCTTCTATGCTTATGTACAGCATAGAATACTGAATGCCAAGGAGTTAAAAATCCTCCTGAGCTCAAAAGAACTGCCTCTTTAAAATTCCTACTTCATCTTCTAGTGCCTTGCAAAAACAAAAAAAAATTCTCCTTAATCTCTCCACAGCTATTCCTTGTAGCTGCCAGGAGGTGGAAACATAGCTACACCAACCTAGGGAAGAAGCATCATGTTGATGTGCAGTTGTACAGCGTGCTGCCTGCTGAAGAATGGTGCTAAAAATATCTGCAGTCCGAATTGGCTCACTGGAGCCCAAAACATAGCATCATACAATGCTCTCCCCTTCCCACACCTAGCAAGACATCTATTCTGCTTGCTGTGGGTGCCCTTAGAGCAGCTGGCTCTGTCAGATGTGACTTACACATTTATTTCAACAAGAATCCAAAATCACACTGCCTGTGATTGAAAGGCTCCCCCAGCAGCAGCCATTGCAGTCCTTCAGAACTGATAAACAATCAGATCCCTTGCAAAGTGACAAGGAGATAAATTTTCACTTGGTCTGTGTGTCTGCTTTGACACTCAAAATCATTGCAAGTACAAAAAACATGTCAGAGATTAGCAGTGCTCATCAGACAAGCCTTAGTCACCACAGAAAGAGATACAGGTGTAACCATCTTCCCCTTGACATTTGATACCAAATGTTAAGGTCTGAGAGAGAAGTCCTGTCAGAAAAGGCAAATTTACATTGATACTTGGAAAAGGGGAGAGAGACACAGGAGTGTTAAAAGGCTGTAGACAAAATAAGCTTTCAAAATATCACAGAGTTGAGTAAAATGTCACAACTTATTTTGGTTTCTGTTTATACGAGAGTGAGTTTGGTACTAACTTAATTTCTGCTTCCTGTGCATTCCCCACCTTAAGCTCATCCCACTGAGAGTGGTCTCAGTTTTCTCAGAGGAAGCTGAAGAGCACAGAGGATTGACTAGAAGTGAGCCAGAAGATATTTCAGAGGAGAAAACACAGGAAAAACACACTCTTCTTTGCACAGAGAGTAGTAGAAAAAAGGAAAAAATCCTCCCTGCATGGGAGGCAGGTCCCAGAAAGTACAGCTGGAAAAAAAAATGGGAAAGGGGTGTCAATAACTATATAGACAATGCCAGAAATCCACCCAAGAGACTTGTGATTTTATAAAATCAATCATACACCTTATTTTCAGAATAAATTAAATATATATATAATTATATCTTCTTACCTTTGCCATACACAATTATCCAGGATATCATGAGCACAGCCCCATCTTTTCCAGCCCAGAGTCCACCCTCAGAACTTCTGCCCCAGGTAAACCTCTGTACTCTCTGTGGAATTGGCAATGCCACACCTGATATAACAATGACAAACATGCAAATAAAATCTGTTATGCATAAAAGAACTGCATCTTTCCTTACCTAAAAATTGGTGTCAAAAAGGTGACTGAAGCTGTAATCCTTATTTTATTTTTAGCCAAAATATTTTGGAGAAAACTTAAAGGAGAAAAATTAATATAAAGCCCTGTGTTTTAACAAAACTGGGGAACAGCTTGGAAGGAATACAAACTGGTTTCTCAGCCCAACCCAGATCAGAATCAACCCACAAAGCTCTAGGAGCTCACCACCTTGGCTTCTTATGCCAAATAAATATTCCCTTCTGCTGGGGGTATGGAGCTGAAGTCACTGGGCACAAGAAGAGGACACCACACCATGTGACCACTTAAGACACTTAGAGAAATGACTGCACAGAGGCACTGCCTGTTTCAGTCTCCACAGCCTCTCTGCACAATATTTTCTTCTCTTCTAACCAATGAAGCAGGAGGATTAAAAAGGCACCTCAAAAAGAACACAGTAACTCCCAGCAGTGGCTGCCATACCTCCAGTCCCACTCCCCCTAAGCATCCATCCTCCCTGAGGTCTACATTCACAAAAATGAAGTCCAGAGGTGATAAGGCCAGGCTGTTTGCATACACAGAGCTCTCAATTTAAGAAAATTAATAGATCTTCATTTTAGATAAAATAACTTTGCTGCCTGTGAGTGCAGCTGTGGCTATGAACCCAGAACAGATGCTGGGAGAGCTGGGGCAGACCTGCATCTAACCCGAGACTAACACACATTTTCCCACACTGCTTTTTTCACCCAAATTCATTCAGTTCTGGTAACGGTGCTCAGAGTAGAAATCCCATGGGAAGCTATTTCCATTAGCTCAGAGAAATCTACAGCAAATCTAAAACAAATCCCTGACATGTTTCACGTGTCAGCCTTGCATTTAGCATGCACAGATGAACAGACAGAGTATGAAACTTATTGCACATGTCACAGTGTGGCAGCAATCAATTTCATTTGCATGCCCTAGAAGGAGAGGATACATCTTCATGAACGTGATTTTTGTCATGTAGAAATTTCTGCTGAGACACCACCATGCAACCTCCCAACTCCCTCTACAAGCAAGCCCCTGGACACACAGAGCTTACCTGCTACACTCACCCCACTGAAGTGGTCCATAGCAATTAGGAAAATATTCTTTATGTTTATGTCTTCTGCAGTGATAGCAGGCACTGCTTGAGTAGTTGACTTCCTATACTTTCAGAAATTTTCAGTGAGGACGTGACATTTGCCATGGTTTCTTAGTTTTGTGAGAGGTAC